GAGTCAGCTTCACACATGAGTTCTTTGTCTGTGGGAAACATCCTGTGGTATCCATTGGGAAGGAGACTGGATGGGCCCCAAGTCAATCCAGTCACAGTGGTGAAGAGAAGATTTCCATCACTGTACGCTAATAGCCAGAGTAGCTGATGCGCCTATAATCCCACTACTACTCTTATCTTTCTAAATATTTGTGTCTTGGCCACATAGTTTATAGACAGTCACTTTATTGGCAAGGTTTTCGTGGCCCATTATAACAGTAGGAGTACCTGTGTTATTGTTGGTATAGGACTATGGCATCTGGGAGCGTGGAGACAAGACAAATCATGGATTGCCAGAGCTAAATGCAAGTTCTATTGGAATGGCAAAGGCTGCCTTGGAAGCAATGAATGAACTGGATTTGTTTGGAGCCCGTGGTGGACCATCATCAATAATACATGTTCTGGCAGATGAGGCTCAGAAATGCCAGGCAGTTTTACAGGTATAAGCTCTTGAAGGTCTTTATCAGATTGTTTTAAGACAGTGTTTCTCAAACACTGATCTGCATGTTTCTGTAACAGTATTTGAATATTGTGATTGGTATTTGATTTATTTTTCAGTCAATGCTACCAAGAGAATCTAGTTCTAAAGAGTTAGACAGTGGTTTATTATCTGTCATCAGTTTTCCTGCATTTGCTGTTGATGATCCTCAGTTGATTCAGCTCACAAGAACAGCTATTGTGTCAAAGCTTCAGGGGCGGTATGGTTGCAAAAGATTTCTTCGTGATGGACATAAGACACCAAAGGAGGTAGTATTGACATTTTTATGCACTTTAGAGGTATAAATTGATAAATGTTATGACTCGTTATTAATGTATTTAGCCTGAGTTCAGTCCATACCTCAGGGACATGGAAGGGTAGTATAGAACATTGGTAAGATGATGATTCAAGGAGAGAAACAAAAGAACTCATAGATAAAACTGCCCTAGTGTCTGTCACTTTGTCCACCACAAGTCCCACATGAACTACCCTGTGATTGCAACACTTCTCCTATGCAATGCCTGCCATGATAAAGAAGGGTAAAGCTATCCATGTGCCTAAGCACTATGCCATAAAGATGTATAGGTAGAGAGAATATCTAAAGCATCATTAACCAACTGTGGAGAGAGTCTTTTTTTGATAGGCTGATAGTAGGTCAGCTGGTCAAGAGATTCTCTGCCTTTTATGGAACCAGGAAGTTCATTGTTATGTTGAAAAGATCTAGCCACCAAACCCTATCCTGAGTTCAATCCAGTCTATACCCTCATACCATAATCTTTTTAGTATTCATTTTAATATTATCTTCCCATCTATACCTAGGTTTTCCAGATTAAAATGTTATATATATATTTCTCATATCCTCCATAAATGCTACATATCTTTTCCACCGTTGCCCTTGATTCTGTTATAATAATATTTGGTGGTGAAGAGTACAATTTTGCAAGTGTCTCATATATTCCATATCCCGCACTTCCCTCTGTTAGGTATCATGCAATTTCTTTAAAGAGTTGCTTATTGAATTTGTCTTTATTTTTTGAGCACAGGATCCAAATCGTCTTTACTATGAGCCGTGGGAACTGAGGATGTTTGAGAACATTGAGTGTGAATGGCCATTGTTTTTCTGCTATCTCATACTGGACTATTGTTTCCAAGGGAATAAGAATGCTGTCATTGAATATACTGAAGCACTCGAAGAGGCAAGTTTATATCAGCAGTCTTTGATAAATTTTTCATGTCATAAATTTAGATTATTTTTCTGAAGCAGAAAAATGATTTAACCTTTTCAGTGTTACATTGGTTAGCTCTTTGGGGGCTGTCCCAGTGCTGGACTATTTACAGCACTTGTTACATGTTTGCTATCTGAGTATTCACTTACATGTTCAAACCAGTCACATTTCTCCATTTGACAGAAATGTGATGAGTTTTCTTATCACAATATGCAGCTCAATTTAATTTTGAATGTCTGTGTATACTTTATTGTAGCTGTCAACTAACATATAGGTAGAACATTTTTTCAATGTTGAATACATATTTATAAGGTAAAGGTAAATTTCACCCAGACTTCCTGTTGCAGCTTTTGTTTTATTGTTGTCAGAACATAAGACAAAAAATAATTTCAATAAATTTTAGAAATTTTCAGTTGTAGCTTCTTTCAAGTTACATAACTAATTTTATGGCACAGTCATTTCTGAGAGGTATTTTGAGGAAAGAAAATTATTTATTATATTTTGACAAATATTATAATCCACATATCATTAATGTCGTAAGTCCAGTTTTAGTTTTGAAGAACATCTTCACTCTGTAGATCATGATACGTACTGAAGATGGGATGAAGCTGGTGCCAGAACTGTATGCTGTTCCAAATGATAAGGTATCAGGAGAGTACCGTGAACCAGGTAGCCAAGAGCGAGTTGTTGTAGGACGCTGTCCCTTTTTGTGGGCCCAGTCCCTTTACATATTGGGTAAACTTCTCCAAGAGGTAAACAGATTTATTTTATACTGAACACTAGACCACTACTAGTATACAGATTTCATATTTAAAGAGTTATGATCTGGTCCTGACTACAGCCACTAACATTGAAAATGAATAAAATCATTTGTTAGCTTTATGGCAACCAGTCACCTGAAGACAGAAGTAGAGCCTACTTCCAAAATATTTTGTAAAATAAATTTACATCAGACCATGATCCATGTCTATCCTGGCTGTAGTATAATGAATCAGCCATTTTCGCTAGAACCATTCAAGTATGCTACAACCACAGCTTATCACATCCCTTTTTTTAGTAAAATCTTCCATATCTTGTCCAACCAATGTTGCAATTTAATGGTTAACATTGCTGCTTTATATTTAGGAGGTTGTATGTTGATATCCTGGTTCATAGGCCAACTGTCCTTAGTTTTTCAAGGTTTTAATCAGTCCTTCCAGACATATTCCAAAATGGGATCTTAAGATGGGCTGATTCTATCTTCAAATTCTTTCTGTTTCATTCCACTATAGTTAAATAAACCAAGAATTAGTCAGTTTGCTGTTTGATTGTATAAGCTCAGCATTTACACAATGTTGTGAAATAACTACTCTTGGGTAATATTTCTGTTAGGGTTTTCTGGCTGTTGGTGAACTAGATCCATTGAATCGCCGGTTGTGTTCAGAGAAAAAACCAGATGTGGTGGTCCAGGTGGTGATCTTGGCAGAAGATAATGATATTCGTGAGAAGTTACGACAGCATGACATCATAGTGCAGACTATTGATGAGGTTGCTCCAATTGAAGTTCAACCAGCTAGAGTTCTTAGTCATCTTTACACATATCTTGGTGAGTTAAAGACATGTTTTAGCTCCTGGTGTTAGTAATTGTGAAAGTTGGTTGTTCCCAGACTGCGTCTAATGAATTCAGGGTTTCAAGGGCTGTTTCAGAAGTTCTGTGCATAAACTTTTCTATTCTGGATCAGTTATGAATGCTAACCAAATCTGAAAGATGATTCTGTTAGCAGGAAATCCTTTATGCAGTTGAAACAAATTTGTAAAATAACCTAAGAAGCATGTAACCTTTTTAGTGAAAGATTCTTTTATTTTTAATATTTATTGTTGAGTTTGAATTGTAGCTCACATATAACTCTGACACTGTTTCCCAGGTCGAAACAAGAAACTTGGACTCTCTGGGCGCAAATCTCGTGATGTTGGAATCCTGAGCACAAGTAAATTGTACTCTTTACATGATCGAATATTTGCTTTCACTCCCCAGGTATGTATTATCTCATATTTCTTTACTGAAACTGTACGTATGTATGTGCTTATGTATGTAGTACTACTGGACCAAATATTTTAATGTAAATATGCACACACACTCTCTATCTATCTATCTATCTCTTTCTCTCTCTCTCTCATTCGTGTATTACTTCCTGATCTAGGCTTGGGACTTAAGGCTTTCAACCAAGAGTGGTTAACACTCCTTTACAGTAGGGAGGCCCCAGGTCTGATTCTCGAGCCTCCTGTTTCCTGTCCTTCTTTCTTTTTGTGGTTTCCCCAATCAAATGCTGGGATAATGCCTTAAAATTGGCCATGAATGCTTCCTGCCATGTTCTTTCCATTTTGTCCTTAATATTATTCTTCCATTTAATGCTGTGTGGTCTGTGCAATTGAGGAACCTAATATTTTATTGATTTTCATTCCCCTTCTTCATTCCCTGAAGATGTTGAACATCGAGTGTCGTAAATCACTTTATTTTACTGCACAACAATCCACACATGTCTTGGAAATTAAAATGTTTTTGTATATTTTTACAAAACTTAAGAATTACAACAAATTTTAAATCTTGAGTGGGAGGAAATTAAAATTGTATTTTTCCTTTATTTTAATGTTTCCTGAAATATTGCTTTTAGTTGACAGACTTGACTCGTTTCTACATCGCTTCTGATTATGAGTTGATGATTGACATTTTCAAGAGTGAATTGAATTTCCTGAAGTCTTCTTGGCAGAACATGTTAGGCCGACCACTTGTCGTCATGGCGATGAAGAACATTCACCTAGGTACATGGTGTGATGGTGTGTGCTTGAATTTTTTTTGTGTGTGTCTTTTCTGTCTGTCTGATTGTTAAGCCGCAAGTAACCAAGTTATGATTGAGATTCTTCATCTTCAGGGGTGCTTAAATAATATATTAATAAACTGTAAGTCTGTTTTCTGTCATATTTGAAACATTCTAATTCATATTCAAAGACATAAATTGCAGGACAGGAGGAGAAGGGATAATATGAAGAGGTGAGAACCATAGTAGTACCCCTCTGCTGGTAAAACAATAGTGGTAAAAAATGACATTTTCTGAGAGACCTTCATAGCTGGTGCTCCTTTCATCCACCTGAAGATGAAAGGACAAGTTTCCAAAAATATATATATATAAAAATATATATGTGATAATACCAGACCATTGTCATAAACTTTTAGATGTATTCAGTGTCGTTTTTCTGGACTAAGTCCATCATTTAGTGTAGTAAAATTAAGCCATGGCATGTCAGGGGTTGGCTCTACCTCCATCTTCAAGTAATAAAGCATGTGTTAAGTCCACTACAAGGGGATAATCCCAGTCTTCGAATTTAGTCCAGAAAAACAACATTGAATGTAATACACCATTGTTCAAAACTTTTAGAGTTCTAGATGTGTAACTTTTCAGTTGAATCCAGCATCATTACATGACCTAGAAACTTTGCTTCTTGTCTCTGCATGACTCTCATTTTGATTATGTACATTACATGTGATGCTGTTGAAATAGTGCTGTCTCCCCTTTTGTTTTAAGCCCTAATTTCATAATGTTTTGGGAAATTTTTAACATTCTATATTCCAAGAGAGGCAGAACTAGGGCCATCATCCTAGGACAGGGCAAACAGGAAAGCTATCCTGGGCACATGATAAGGGAGAATATCAGTCAGTGTCCTCATTAAAAAAAAGCATATTATCTCTGTGTGTTGAATTGTAAAGTGACAGGGCTAACTTTGTTTTCTTATTACTCGCTTGGAAATTTTTTGTCATCCTTTGTTCATACGAGTGGGTGATTACTGCTTGTTCTGAAGGTCATGTTCGCATGTTAAATGGCTTAGGCATAGAGAATGTTTAAACAGTAATGTAATATCACAAATCATGATACCAAAGGTCATAAAATTTTGTATTATGTTTCTTTGTTCTAATAGCAGGACAACTGGGGAAATAGGTTTTTGTAATTTCTCCAGGTGAAAAATTTATTAATTCTTTTTATAATCTGAGATTATAATGGATTTATGTATACTGACTATATCTTCATTTCAGCTGTGTAAGTTATGGAATTTGGTAAAAATTCCCACTTCTGAGAAGGGCTGATGTTTTGAAACTAATGCATGGTGGATTGTTTCCCTCTGTTGCTTGTTGTCTGTCTCACCATCAAGAACAGAATGTTGATTTGGATCAGTATTACACGATTAATGATGTCGACCTGCTAATCAACAATTTCAACAGTGATCTTGCTTTCCTAACGATGAACTGGCGTCGCATGCTTGGGAGACCAACTATCACAATGATTGCACATGCTGGCATGTTGGGTAATGTTTATTTGAGGCACTGCTTTAATTTTGAAAACTTTTAGATTGCAAGAACACATATGAAGTTAACACTTGGGTCATAATTGCATGTATTGTCTGCTTTCCTTTACCCTAATGTCTTATAAAGTGATGTGTATATGAAGTGTGGAAATATCTGGCTTTCATTGTAATATAAAAGACCATTTTTGCCTTAATTAAAACTGGTTCTTGTCACCGGGCATTGGTCATGTTTTGTAATAAATGTCTCTATCTGCTCCTCATAAAATTGTTTTGGCATACCACAATCCACATTTAATGTCATGTTGCTAGCTCCAGCTTGGGTTAGCCCACCTCTCATGTATGTATACACCACATTTTGTCTGCTTCATTGCCTAGTAATGATGAATAGCTTTATTACGCAGAGTATTTTCTTTTACCTGACGATAGAGCAAAGCAAGGCTCTGAAACATTACACATAATTTTTGACTAGACAATGGATGTCCAAGGAAAATACTCCTATGAAGTATAAGTTGAATATTTTTTGTTAGCCAGACTTTTCAGAATTTTTATATTTGTGTGTTATTTGCTGCATTATGACTTTGGATGCAAAAGCTTGGTTTTAAATTAATACTCCTTAAACTACTTACATTAGACTGCAAATTCTTAATATTCATACATAGTCTTCATTTAATTTTGCATTAAATGCCCTTTCTGTGTTAATACAATGTTATTTCACTTTTAAGTAACCAAAAGGGTCATTCACCAATTTTGCTATTGAAATTTCTTTTTTGAGAACATAACCCCTGTTTTTAACATTGCATTTGTAGAGTGCAGCTACCATGCAGGTTGAGGTTTACATAAATATGCACCTGGTTTTCCATTACTAGGTTAATTATGGAGATAATGAAGTTTACCACATTTCAGGTAAATCTCATGACATTAAATCAAATGATAATGTGGAATGTATTTTATATTTTTCAATGAGAGTTGGATTTCTTTATTTCCAGATCAAGGGAAAATCCCCTTGGCAATGTTAACAACAATGAAAAAGTTGAAGAGTGGATATATCAATGGAACCAGGTATAATTATTATTTGAAGAATTTTTATAACTCACTGCTGGAGAAGAGAACATGTAGTCAGCTTTCGTATTAATTCATTTAGAGCATATGTGTAGAGAGATTTTTACTAATATTATTTTATGCACTTATTATTAACCTGAAAATATCATTTCACGTTCATAATTTTTAATTTCATACCATTGATTGTACCAGCAGGGTAGCCATGCAGACTTATGTAGTTTAATGTAGAGTTTTGAATTTTAGTGCAGTGATAAATCTTTGAAGAATAGATCTTTTTTGTACTTTTGCAGCTGAAAGTTGTGAAAAATATGTTTATTAGCATTGTCGTCTGTCTGCTTTGCAAGTAACAATATTGATAACTTCTGAATAGATTTTTGTTAATTTTAATAAAAGGTAAAAAAAGATAAAGCAGTCCTACTACACAGGTAGTTTCGGGAGTTATGGCTGCTACTCATTCTTGACCTCAACACTAGATGGGGTGAGTGGTCAGCATCATGCCCCATCCGCGCTTTTCCCCCCAGGAAGGACATTTTGTACCTAGTATATCTCTTCTACTTCCTTTTCCCTGATTAAGCAAAAGCAATTTTTATGCTGCATCATCTCATAACTTGAATACGGTTTGATTGGTTTTGATCAAATTTATGTTGGAGGCCCTTGCTTATCCCCTCTGGTTGTTTTCCATGCTTTATAGGGTATCAGAAGTTAGTTAACACTCATGAATTGATAGCCTGGATTGAATGTGTCAGAATGTTTTACTGCAGTGGGTCTTCAATACCCATCATTAATTGATGCCTTAAAAGTGCAACAGATAAAGAAATGATGGAGCAATCATTAATTCCAGGGAAGTCATAAACTTGAGCACTAAACTCATTTTTGAACTAAATAAACACTAATAAAGACTAGCCTTGAGATTGTCAAAAATCCCCTCTGCCTTCTACCTTGTTAAAGTGGAATTTAAATGATCTCCCATAGCTTGCTTATCAGAAATGCAGATCATTAATAACTACTACATCTTTTGCAGTACATTTTCTGTGGTTCTCGAACATTAAATTGTGTCAGACGATGCTAAATTTGTGACATCTTTATATTTCTGTTTTTCAGCTACATTTATTGTAGGCAGTATTCCATGTACACATCTGATATTGACTGCTGATTTGCTAGCTTCAGAATAGCTGTAATTTCCAATTGAATTTCTACTACTTTTGACCTCTTTACATTTGACTTTGCAGACATGGACACTGAGTGTGTTGCAGAAATAAATTAAATAAGACAAAATTTGCAGAGAACTGGTTTGAGAACCTATCATTTGGAGTGTTCCTGGTTGACTGATGCTAAATACAGGTTACCAACTGCTGAATGGTAAAAAATACATTCATGATACATGAGACAGGTGATGGATATGAGAACCAACAACAGATATAGAAATAATGATGTGTTAAAGAGTGGACAGTGGATGCAATATTTGATGGAATGGAAGTTGACATATCGAAGGCCCACTGTATTTATATATTTCCTTACTTGTTGAAAATCATCTTGTATAATGTAGAATCACAATGTGGCTTATGTACAGAATGTGTATATTAAACTTTATTCAGTAACAAAAGGTAATGAATTCAGATTGTGGTCTTCTGGGCCATGATGCTATATAGTCATTTAGGTGGTACACCACAATCTGAACTGTCATCACCATGAAAATATAAAATCTTGTATAGTAATGAACAGCTGCAGCAAGGAATGTTGAAATTCAGATGTAAATTTACAAATACCTCAGTTCACATATATGCCGAAGTACAGGTTGCATAACCAAGTTTCATTTTCTGGCAGGGTAAGATTTTTGTTTTATTGCTGGCTCACATAACCTTCTGTGCAATGGCTGTATACCAGGCAGTCTTTCCCCAGAGGTAAAGTGGTTGGTATATGAAGCTGACCAGTCACCTCCATCTAGTGCTGAGGTTAAAAACTATAATTCCACTCCTCCATTACATCTTTGCAGTGTGATGTTTAATTTAGCTTAGGGATAACTTCACCTTCTTACCTATTGCAAATGTTTTTCCCCATGCAGGGTTACTTTGGGAAACCTGAATGACTTCCTCAGTACATCATGCATCACCAATTTAAGCTTCCTTGGTAGCCAGGAGGATGGTTTACCAGATCGTAAGTATATAATTTTTGATAAAATGTTTGTAATTGTAAAGATATAAATACTTAAGATATAACAATCATGTTAGTTTTGTATAATTTACAGAAGTGGTCTGACCCCTGAAGATGGTCTAAAACAGATCGAAGGATGAAAGATATTTATTGTATTTGATACTTGTAATAAATTCTTTCTCTCATCCTCTTTTACCCGTAGGTGTCAAGGTTTTTAGTCTTTTCTTGATCTATTTGGACAGTGGTAGGACTCCTTGGATGAGTGATCAGTTCAACGCAAGGCCTCTACCTATACAAACACAAAAACGCGGACAAACATCCATGCCTTGAGTGGGAATCGAACTCACGGTCCCAGCGGCCAGGCGCGTGAGGTCCATGCCTCAGACCACGTGGCCACTGCGGCCAGCTATAATAAATTAATATATAATAAAAATTATATATATATATGCTAAAACTGTTACTCATTTCTCTAAATGACAGTCTGTACTACTTTATCAGTATAACTTTCATTCCCCATGATCTGTTTTTATGGGCTTCATCTAAATTTACTGTTGGGTTTGTATTCCTTTCATAATTTGTTCACATTGTTTTGTGTAAATCTGCATGGTTATGCCTCACGTTGTTTAATATGTAAATGTCAGACCAAAGTGTTATATGCAACTAAAATGAAACATTTTTGCCTATTTGAAAACTATTCCCTTGGAAGAAATTCTAGAATAACTTGGTTGAATATTTTCAAGTTTGAATTTTTAGGGCTAAACCCACAAGTGCAGATATACTTGGAAGAACACTTACTGAAGTCACTTACTCCTCGTTCGCAACTACTTAACCGCCCAGCCATACGTAAAGGGGGTGCAATGCGGCGCCGTATGTCAGTGAAGGGAGCCATCAAGAAGACCCGATCAATAGCAGTAGAACGTAAGTATCAGACATAGTATGGGAACTTCACTGTTGAGAATTAATAATACAGTAATAGTGACACAGTAGTCTCGAGATAGTCTGTAGCTAATCTTGTTTTTTGTTTTGATTGTTTTGGTGGGCTGGTTTCTTAACATTCCGGAGTTCCTGGTCATTTCCATCTTTAAGGCGAAATGACTAAGCAGTTTTTTCGCTCTGATATTTGTAGTTCTGGGCCATGTGGTTAGAAGAAAACTGGCATGAGAAGGAACTAAGTACTGATATGCTTCACTGTAAGCATGGAATTTCCTACTGCCTCATACCCTTACCATGGGACTCTGAATGTCATGTCTGTACCAGTCCAGTGTTTAGTCATTTTACATTCAAGATGGAAACAGACAGGTTTTCCATTACTTAGGATAACCAGCCCAATGCAAGATTGTCTCATTATTATCGAAGAAAATTAGTACAGTAACATTCCGTTGAAACAAGTGTCTTCTTGTGCTTTTCTCATTTCGGTATGTTTCCCATTCCTGTTCGTAGTAACTGTCTTCTTCCTTCCATTGCTGTTGACAGGTTGAACTGCGTGTACATGTTCAGTAGGAATAATTTTCCATTCCAGTGCTTTGTTAGCAGATATCTCTTCTCAATTTCCTTATGAATCATGAAGTGTGTTAATGTTATTTTGGGTATATTTAGCCTAAAGTAAAGATTAATCCAGTGAAAATATGCCATTGTCTCTTTATCCCTACACATTATCAGATTATTTGTATAAATGTTTTAGATCTTCACAATGATTGTAATTTGACTTCATAATTGTTTTTGTTTTCAGATACTCTGTTTACTTACATTTGCATATTCTTTTAAACCTCTTTCTCAATTGAGGACTAACTCTCTGGCAGGAGAACCTAAAGGTGCAGTGTACTGCCATTACGGAAACCTGCCATTAGACGTGATGCTGAGTTAATTTTACCCACTTCCCATCTTCACAGCCTTGGCTACTAAAATACATCTTGATATTATCTCAATCTCATTTTGGTCTTCCAAGAGAATGCTTTCTAAGAGTTAAGTTTCCCCACCAAAATTCATTGTGCGCTGCTTTTTTCCCCCAAATTCATTGCATATACACCCCATTGTAGCCTCCTGGTCATCACTGTGCTAACAGTAATAGGTGATTTGTATAAATCATGAACTTTGTCATTATGCAATTCTTAAATAGAACACTACATGTGCATGTTGTCCATGTCATACAGAAACATTCTGTTATACTTGTACCACTGTCAAAGTAAGAGAACACATTGTCCAAAGCAGTATGTATTGTGATCTTTTGGGTTAAAATGGCACCTAATCTTAATAGGTGATTCTAGCTTTTTAAGGGAAAATATTGTCTCCATGTTAAGGGTGGACTATTTTTCTCTGTTGTTTGACTATTCCTTTTTTCCCTGCCTCTGTTCAGTTTCTCTTTCTTGTTTTCTTTTTTTTTCTTTCTGTCCCTTCTTGTCTCAGACTTATCCTTTCTTTTATCCCTGTCTTTCTTTCTTTCTTTCTTTCTTTCTTTCAGTCTGTACCTGATGATGCCTTAAACGTGATGAATGCATTGGTTCCATCAGCTTTTCATGTAAAATACTGTATATGAAACTTGCATGCCATGGTAGAATGCATGTTACTAGTTCTGATAACATTTATTGTGTCTTGTAGCTGATATTTTGGGTATGCAAGGTGATGAGCGTTCAGAGAGAAGACCATCTCATTTGGCAGCTGATTCAGAAGCAGCTAAGACATCTCCTAGGTCACCCTCACCAGAAGATCTTGTGCCATTATGGAAACTGAATGCAGCTCCCAAAGCAAGGTGAATATGACTGGATATTGGCGGAAATTTTTGGATTATGGTTCCTCAATTTGGGAACATAAAAGGTAAAGCTGTCCCTGTGGACATAAATTTCAACATTAGAAGGAAGTCACTTGTCATTGTCACACTCTCAATTCATTATCTAATGAGTAGGAGGCTGTGTTGGCATCAGAGTTGGTCTGGATGTGATGGTAAAAAAGGAAATCACTACTCCTGTCAGGAAGTAAACATTGGTCATCCAGCTCATAGCCAATCACTTTATTGACTGTCGTATCCTGGTTCACCAGTTTACAAAGATCCAAACAATCACAAAACAAAATATTATGGTATACATCGCTCTGTTACCTTGAGCCCAGCAGCTACAGTTGCAAGATTACAACTGCATGATTTCATGCCTTGATGTTATGTATGTGACCTCTCCATCGGCCATTTTAGAATAGCTTCCAAAACCAGCTGTTAATTCACTATCATACTTCTGTTCGTAATTTATCTGCCACAGCTCTCTTAATGAGTTCCTTCTTGGTCTTCCAAGTAGATGTTTGCTGTGCTTCCCCATCCATGCAATATTCCCAGCCTGTCATTACCTTGATTTTGCTATTGTAACAGTCGGCCATGTGCTAACTTATTTCATGGAGCACATTTTGAGAACGCAACAAATTATGAAAATCGCCTTCATCCTTTTGTCATTTCCCGTCTGATAGGTCTAAATATTCTCTTCAGCGCTTTGTTCTCAAAAACCCTTCGTCTTTGTTCTTTCATATCTTAGGGTGAGACAACTTTTACTCCATTGAGTTTTTTTAATAGTACATTTTGTATCAAGCCTTGTCTGTCTTATTTACTACATGTTGTGAACCAGTTCATACCATGTAACTTCAGTTTTGGGAGTTGAGCCACTGCTCAACCCTGAAAGCCAAAGTTGCACATTGACCTCCAGCCATGAAAACCTAAGAACAGTTTGTACTGTTTCCTGAACCTTTTATAGCTCTTAAAGCATTGGACCAAATTAGAACTAGAGTATGAGGGTACTCTCTGAACTGAACTGGAACTGAATCTTTATTTAAAAATCTTTAAAGCCCTTTGTACACTTAAAGCTAAAATAGAATATTTATGTTTGAAAACAAAGTGCAAGGAACTTTTTTGGATCAAAGAGGTAGAGTATGAATTTATTACAGGGTTACTTCAGAAGCTACACAGTATGCTGACACAGAAGTTGAAGAACTCCTGACTATGCTTAGAGAAACTGAACACCTTGAAGAACAAGGAGACATCTTACAGTACCTTGTTGATACACAGGGACTTGACTTCAATACAGGTGTGTAAATGGATAGGATTCGACCTTTTAATTTCAAAAACAGGCACATAAAGTTGCCTTTCTGCTTTAAGCACTATGTCCTGATAATATAGGAGGGGAGAAAGTAACGTGCCATGTTGATGGTCCGATGCTTAATCTACAAGTTAGTATTAAATAATTACCAGTAATATTATCATTGATATCAATTTGCTTTTTAGCTCATCTTGGCTCCAAATGAGATTCCTTAAGATTTCGTTTTAATGATTGTTAAAATGTATTTGAGAACATTGCTTTTTTT